TCCCCCACCTCCTTCGTCTCTCCTCCCACCTTTCATCTGTGTATGTGTGTACGGGATCTGGGCATCGTCCATGCTTGGCCCAGACCCCACCATCTCACGATTGTATGTGTGTGGAGTGATTCTTGAGTCAGTCTATGTGAGTCAGTCTATGTGAGTCAGTCCGTTTATCAGACTTCCGCTGCATATATGCTCATCCTATATTGGTTGATCTTTGGTTCTGCCCATACTCATTGAAGTATGTAACAGTGCGCTTGGGGGCCCCGGCCCCCAACTGGGTGCCCTGCCCGGCCAGGCTGCCCGGGACCTCCCCCGGGCCCCTGCCGGTCCCCCAGGCGGCCCGGATCCCCACTCAGCTCTGGGGCTCTTTTTCTTCTGCGTGCCTTTGTCCATGTGTGTGCATGCACATGTACTCCTGTGACTGTCTTTCTGTGTGTGCATGTCTGTCTCCATGTGTGTGAGCGAGAGGAAGAGAGATAACACTACGCTGCTTTGTCCATGGACAGATTGAAACATACAATCTAGTGGAGGTGGAGAGGGACTACCAGTCCATTTGCCGGAGATATGCACGGATGTACATTTCGGCAGAGTTTTCAAAGGCAAGTTCCTGCTTCATGGTGCTGCCTCAGAACAATCCTCCAAGCCGAGAACTCTGCTGCTGGACTTTATCCTGAATTTGTTCCAATCTGTTGTCTGGATTTGATACAAATAAATCTCTGGTTGTCGCCAGTTTGCTTTTCCGTGGATATTTGTCTGTTTTCATCTTTAGGTGAAGAGAGGGTGGTTTTGTTGCATTGGTGCAGCTGCAGGTTCAAAATCTCTCTGGAGAGGCAATGCAAGGAACATAATCGTGGCACAGGGAGGTGCACCACTGAGGACTACATCTACAGAGCATCTTGCGAATATCTTCTGCTTCCTAAGGCTGATGTTGTAGGGATGGATTTAGTAGAGTTGCTGATGATTTGTCAGTGGCACAGGGGATAAGAGGACAGTGCTGTAGACTTTGATTGTGTAGATGACATTTCTGCCCAGAGCTGAGCTACCTGCTAGGCTGCCCAGGTGGTCCCAGCCAGCACCGGACCCACCCACTCGGTTTGGCTGGACGGGTCTGCCGGGCAAGCCACTGGGCCCAACTGCGCAGAATCGAAGTAGCCAGGTTTGGCTCCTTGCCCTTTTGACCCCTTACCGCCGTCCATACTGGCAATGGAGAAAACAGGCCCCGCTTTCATTTTTAAATGCTGGGATATGGGTAATTGATCAATGAAGATTGGTGGTTCAGTCAAACGTCATGTAGCGATCTAGACTCCCCCTCTCCCACGATTTCCGTTCTCCCCTCACACCAGTGCTTCCACTCCCTTTTTCCCCTGACTCTCACACTGGCACTTCCTTCCTCCCGGGCCGCCAATCTGCTCCTCCCATGATGCCCACACCACCGCTCCACTGCTCCCCTCTCACAAGCCCCGTCTCCCCATTCTCCTTTTTCTGTGTGTGTGTGTGTGTGTGTGTGTGTGTGTGTGTGTGTGTGTGTGTGTGTGTGTGTGTGTGTGTGTGTGTGTGTGTG